ACGCCGGCCACGTGTCGTACCTGAACCCCTGCTGCCTCAGTGGCCGCCCGCCGCCCCGCGCCGGCGGCCCGGGCGTGCGGGCTCATGCTCGGTCTGCTGACGACGCTGCTGCAGCCAGGCTACGGCTCATATGTTGGCCCGGTGCCGTGCACCGGAACCGGTACGCGGCCGCGTGTGGCTTCCACATCTTTGACCTGAACATCGTCGAAGAATACTGGGAGTGCTACCTCTGCGAGCACCGCAGCGACACCAGCCGCATGTCGACGGTCTGGAAGCAAAAGTGCCGCGGTTGGCCCAGCCGCCGAAGTGGCTCGAGTGGTGATGGCGGCCCCCCGCCGCACGTACGCGTACCGCAGCCCATGCTGCCCCCGCCGCACGTACCTACCGCAGCCCCCCCCCTCCCCCTCCCCCTCCCCCTCCCCCTCCTCCCCCTCCCCCTCCCCCTCCCCCTCCCCCTCCCCTCCCCCTCCCCCTCCCCCTCCCCCTCCCCCTCCCCCTCCCTCCCCCTCCCCTCCCCCTGCTGCCTCCTCCCTCCTCCTCCTCCTCCTCCTCCTCCTCCTCCTCCTCCTCCTCCCCCCACTGCTGCTGTTCTTTTGTGCTAATCGACTGCAACGACAAGGCTGGGGTCACCTTCGATCTGGGTATCGCGGCGGGCCTCACTCTCACCAAGGTTGTTGTTGCTGTTCACGGCGATCACGATCTACGACTACTCTGACTGGACAAAACCCCCCAAAATGAAAGGCCCACTGGGCCGACGGCGAGTCACAACGTGGAAGCGCTCTCGATGGAGGAGGAAGAAAACGAGGACTTTGGCCAAGACTGAACGCGGAAACGTGATGCTGACCTTGGCCACCGTCGAACTTGGTCAACAACAGTACGTGGATCAGCCTTGCGAATAGGCGATGGCCGACATGGACCATGACCAAGGCCGGCATCGACAAGATCCCGCGACATCTTGGTCATGGTCCCCTGGATTCTTACCTCGACGCACCGCCCATGCGTGAAACAGCATTAGATAACTGTGCGCGAATGCTCAACAACGCGGCCGCGCCAGGCTGCGTCTATGGGGGACCAACCTTGGGACTTTCGCGCCCTCCCCCCACCCGCCAGACGCATCGGCGCCCCACGGCGGATTCCTGCACCGTCTACCATCACGAGCGGCGGAAAACATCCGTGTCTGCGCCCTCGCGGTCCGGATTCCGGGGCGCGATCCCGCGGATACGCGGTCGAACAAATGCGCTCCGCGCGGGGCATCCCCGAAAAAGCGCCCCGTATCCGCGAGGTCGCGGCCCATGGACCCGGCCCGCGAGGCAGCGTATACGACTCATTACTTTTTTCGCCCCCGATTCCAAACCAGCCTGGACCTGGTCGGTGAGCCAAGAAGAGGCACCAGCAAGGGCTGGGAACACACACGCACACACACACACACCCACTCACACATACACACAAACTGGTCCGAGCAAACACTCTTGTCAGAACCTCACGGATCCCTCCTATGCGAAACGACGACGAGACCAAGACAACATTGGACCAAGACAAATCTGGGATCTCTGAAATCCAGCAGCTCTGGAGGATGGCTCGGATGCCGCGGCCTCCCAAACAGCTCCAATACGCTCCAAAAGAGCTCCAATACGTCCAGCACGCTCCAGTAAGCGAAAGCGCCCGCGACCGGCTCCGCTCCCCCCATTCACCCCACCCCCCTGGTAATCAACGTCACGATCCGCGCCGGCGCCGTCTGAGAACTAGTCATTCCTGCGCATTCCCAGACGGCGCTGGCGCGAATCGTGACGCTGCCGGCCCGCCCCCCGGGCCACGCACGTTCCAGTCGACCCGTGTAGTGAGGATGCACGATAAGGATGCAAGGGCCTTGGAAGGCCGTTTCGAAGCTTCTCGAGCGGGGCGCGGCCAACAAAGTCGCCGAGGATGGGCCGAGGAGGCAAGGAGGCAAGGGTGCCCTTTGGAAAGTTGCCCATCCCTGCTATGCGGGTTGACTGTATCGCCAAGAGGTAAGCACATGGTCTCTAGGCCTACATGCCCGACTCGTCAGAAGCCCCTGCCAGCTCCCGGGCCCCCAGGGGCCCAGGGCCCCCCAAGAAGGGCTCCCAAGAGGAGCCCCAAAACTGCCCCGGAGAGGCCCCCGAGAGCGCTCCGATAAGAGCCCCAAAGAAACATCCCTGAGAACTCTGACCCACAGCCCAGGCACGGTGGCGGGATTCTTGCGGACCCCAATGAGGGTCCAGCTGCAAGGGGTGTGATACAATAGATCTGGTGCAATAAGTTAGATTTGTGGGTTGCAATAGATTTGGGGCGTGCTATACCTTCCGGTGCGCAGATGCATTGTTGGGTTTTCGCGCGCAAAACTTTAGCTGCAACGCAATCAAATACAAGTCTCTGGCCCAGTGAATTTGCAATACAGTTGCCCCACATCCATTGCACCACCCCGTTTCGGCTGTATCCCCTCTGGGGTCGACCAGAGGGATGGGCCGAAAGCCATCAAATACCTGACTCGCCAGGGCCCCCGTCGGCTCCCGGGCCACCAGGGGTCCGGGGGCCCCCGCCTCTGGGCCACCTGTTTCCATCACCCAGCTTGGCCCAGAAAGGCTGCGAGGCCCAGATGGGGGAGAGAGAAGGGAGTGGCGAGCACGGCAAGCCTCGCCACTCCCTCCCAGTCCCTCCTCCGCCCCTCCCTCCCTCCAGGTGGGAGAGGAGGAGGAGGAGGAGGAGGAGGAGGAGGAGGAGGAGGAGGAGGAGGAGGAGGAGGAGGCGGAGGAGGAGGAGGGGGAGGAGGACGAGGAGGAGGAGGAGGAGGAGGAGGAGGAGGAGGAGGAGGAGGAGGAGCGGCGCCCACGCACCGTCCCATGTCGGGCGCCGCTCCAGCGCGGCACGGTGCCTGCTCTGTCGACCCCAGGGCCGCACAACCATGCCCCGCACCATTCCTGGCTCGAGGATCGACGATGCCTCGGGAGGCGCCGACGCGGTACCGCGCACACAATCCGTCCGCGGACGAGGGAAGGGGCTGAGAAGGAAGCCCGCGCAGGTCTGGGGTCAAGTAGACCTGCTTGGCACGTGGACGGACAGAGCATGTACTTTGTGATGGCGCGAGGTCGCTGGCGTAGTGTCTTGGAACTCTGCTGGTGTTGAGGCTTTGGCATACAAACATCTGGTCAGAAACGTTGAGAAAATCAATGGCTATTGCATTTCAGGGCCTTCCTGGGGGTCCTCTTGGGGCTCTTTTGGGCTGTCTTGGGGCCCTCTTGGGCCGTCCTGGGGCCCTCTTGGGCCATCTTGGGGGGCTTGGGCCGTCTTGAGGCCCTCTTGGGGACCTCCTGTGGCCCTCTTGGGGCTCTCCCCTGAACCTTCTGGAACCCTGAAGAGCCTCTCCTGAGTTTCTTGGGACTCTCTTGGGCCGTCTTGGAGCCCGCTTGGGCCGTCTTGGGGCCCTCTTGGGGACCTCTTGGGCCGTCTTGGGGGCCTCGTGGGCCGTCATGAACGCTGTTCAGACAAAAGAAGCGAATGGACGTGTTACCATTTGGGGGTCCTTTTTGGGAGCCTCTTGGAGCGTCTCGGGGGCCTCTCTGGCCGTCTTGAGGCCGTCCGTCTTGGACTCGCTTTGGACGCTATTGGGCCGTCTTGGGGTTCTCTTTGGGCCTCCCTGGGGTCGTCCTGGGTGTGTGTAGGGCCGCCTTGAGGGCCTCTTGGGCCGTCTTGGGGGCCTCTTGCGCGTTCTTGGGGTCGACTTGGGCAATCTTGGGCCGAACATGGCAAACATTTGGGCGATTAGACCTGCTTGGCATAGGGACTGAAAGCGCGGGTTCCTTCTGTGAGGGCGCGAGGTCGCTGGCCAGTGCCTTGGAGCCCTGCTCGCGTGAAAGCTCTGGCACGATATGCAACAATGTGGCAACAAACCCTGCGAAAGTCCACGAATATTAGGTTTCCGGGCCTGCCTGGGGGTCTTTTTGGGGACTCCGTCGAGCCGTCTTGGGGCCCTCTTGGGTTAAGACGGGCGTGTCCCCCTACAGGGAGATTTTCGACGAAAAAAAAATTTAAAAAAACCTAGAAAATAATCAAAAAATAGTCCAAACATAATCTGGGGACTATTTTTTGAATATTTTCTGACCTTTTTGGGTGTATTTTTGGGGTGTTTTTTTTGACAAATTTTTCATCGAAACTCCCCCTGTAAGGGGACACGCCCGACCTAACTCTTGGGCCGTCCCGGGACCCTCTTTGGGCCGTCTCGGCGGGCTCGGGCCGTCCTGGAGCTCTCTGGGGGGCGCTCCTGGGGACCTCCTGCGGCCCTCGTGGGGCTCCCTGCGGAACCTCTCGGGGCCCTCTGGGGGCCCGTCTTGGGCCTGTCTTGGGCCGATCTCGGGGGCCTCTTGGGCTGTCGTGGACACTGCGAGGACCAAAAGAAGATGAGATGCTAAAGCGTGCGTTTCCCGATGGGACTGGGGTGAGTTGTGCCTCTTGGGGGTCCCCTTTGGGGGCCCCCTGCGGCGTCTTGGGGGCCTCCGAGTCCGTCTCGAAGCTATATTGGGCCCTCTTTGAGCGCTCATGGGCCGTCTTCGGGCCCTCTTGGACCTCTCCGACGCCGTCTTGGAGGCATCTTGGGCGCACTTGGGGCCGTCTTGGGCCGTCTTGGGGGCCTCTGAGGCGCTCTTAGGGGCTGACTTGGGCCTTCTTGGACCGAAAATGCTAAAGAGGTAAGCTATTAGATCTGAGCCCTGGCTGCATACCCCCCACCCCCCCTTGTTATTTCTCCCGGCTGACGGATCGCGACGCTACGCGCGCTTTCCGTCATCTGGGCCGGGTCCTGCCAACCCCCTCACTCTCCCCCTTGCTAGTTCTCCTGCTCCCAACTGACGGATCGCGACGCTCCGCGCGCTTTCCGTCATCCGAATGGTCTTTCCTCAAACATCCAAGCCTGCGTGACTCACGCCCGTGCTGGGGCCGCCCGAGCGCAGCGAGCGCAGCCCCGACGGCGCCCGTGGCGCGCCCGGCTCCTGCTGCTTCTCCGTCGCCCGCGTGAACCGCTCGTTCTTCTGCAGGGCGGAGGCGTGCTGGAAGCCCGCCACGGTCATGTCCTGCGGCGTGCCGGGCAGCCGCCGCCCCCCCGGGGCAGGGCCGGCACGGCGACGGCACGTGCCGCGTGCGCCCCGGAGGACGGGCACCAGCAGAAGAGGTCAGGGGGGGAGAGGGGGACACGTTCGGCATTCGATGCACACCTGGAGGAGGCGGCACAAAGGGGACGAGGAACGATCCGCGAGGCGGGGGTTTATCCATATCCACCGCCTGGGAACCGACGTCCTGGTGCCCCAGCGGGCGGTGGATGTGGATACATTTCGGCTCCCGGGGGCCCGAATATGTGCGTGTCCACCGCCTGCCGAGGCTCCGAAAACTGACCCGCCGGGCGGTGGATATGGATAAATGCCCGCCTCGGACGATACCTGTACAGAATGGTGCTGCTCCCCGCTCCCTTCTTCCTGACGGCTCGAACCAACTATTCCCCACGTCGGGGCGCCAACCACGAGCCCTGTTCAGAATGGACAGCACCTGCTGGCGTTCCTCCTCACAGGAAGACCTCATGTCTCGTATGATGGCAGAGCTTCAAGGGAACATTCGGGAGAGGTTCAGGAACACGGTTCATGAGCTTCGCGAGAAGGTGGGTGATCGGTTGCAGTCATTGGCGATGTCCGTCAATTCGGTGAAGGACAAGTTGGCGGTCATGCGCGGCAACCAGGAACGGACGCAGAAAGCTGCAGAGACAACAACACAAGCCGACGAATTCATAAGCAAGTCCGTGCCAGTTCGGGGAGACGTAAGACTAGGGTCCGGGGGACTCGGTCACTAACGGGACCCGGGAACAAAAAACCAGGAACCCGGAACTGGGAATATATTATATTCAAGCCATAAACCGAGAACCGGGAGCTGGGACCTGTGAGCCGGGAACCTGGAACCGGGAAAACGGGAACTGGGAACTGGGAACCCGGAGCTGGAAACCTGGAACGGGGAACCTGGCACCAGAAACTGGGACACCAAACCTGACCTGGACGGGAACATGGAACCAGAAACACGGAGGCGGAAACCGGGAACAGGGAACAACTGGGAACCGGGAACTCGTTGACCAAAAAACCTCAGTTGACTCGGGTTGGCTTGACGGCCCAATCTGACATTTGGCGCGAGCTCCCGCCGCAAAAATCTCACGAAAACTGCACCGTCCAGATCCAGGGCGCGCCTCGCCTGCGCTGTCGGCCTCCCACCGGCGCCCCACCGGACGCGGCCGTCCTCGGCCGAGGTCCCGTACCGGTGCTCCACGGCCGCGCTCGCGAGAGCCTCCCCCCGGCGCGGGGGCGCAGCTCCTCCTCGCCCTCGGCCGCCTCCTCTCTCGCGTCATACTGTACAGGGAACCGAACTCCATGCACCGACGCTTTTTTGCTGGCCCTGCACTGAAGTTCGCACAGGAAAGCAGATCCTGGTGTATACAAGGCCCTGGTGTGTGTATATATCTAATGCTTTTTTCGCTGGTTTCTGGAAAACGGAACAACAAGTATACACCACACCGCCCCGACGCCGTCCCCGACCCTCAATAAGTCCTGGGACTGGAAAACAAACCGCCCGCCACTGGTAACGTATATGTCCCAATTTCCGACTAGAAGCTTCACGGAACGATCTTGTGAACGCTTTTGCATCCGGCGTTTCGACATGGAGCGAAGAGGGGGCGGGAGGGGGTGGGGACCTGCCGGCTCTGGCCCTCTGCTTAGTGCGACTGTTTGCGACAGTGCGTCCCATGGGGGAGAGTTTGGGAATTCGGGACCCTCACGCAGTCAGAAGAACGCCCCACTTAGACACAGCTGTTGGCCGAATGCCTCTGCTGAAACATCTCAGGCACTCACGCCTGTTAGCAGTGATACGGTTGGGCCCACATGGCTTGGGTGGGTCGCGGGTGGGTCGCGGGGTGGGTCGCGGGGCGGGTCGCGAGTGCGTCGCGCGGGTGTCGCAGCGAGGGCGGCGACGACCACGACGACGAAGACGACAAGAGAAAGAGGAAGAATATTCCTCACCGCGGAAGCCCACTTCAGGCACGCACCGGGGGATGTTGTAAGACCGTTCGGCCCCCTCACTCTGATATATACAGATCTGCATACACAAATGAAGATAATCGGCGAAATTACGGTCCCAAGGTTTGTACGGCTCGCTGCCCGATGGATGCCTTTGCCACTTGAGCCAACATGTACACGCTCCCCAGTAACTGGGCTCAACTCATTCTTGCACCCCGCTCGGCCTGGCTGGGCCGTCAAAGAAACGAGGATATCTTAACCAGGCTCCGTCTGGTTCCAGACGCCATGGTCCTCCCAACCAGGACAACATCAGGAACGGAGATCCTCTACCTCAGTCTTTGGAATACATGTTTGTGCTGTACTTCTCGAACGGCTACACTTACCAACGCTGCGTTCAAAATACGTTCCAACATTGTCGGGTCGGACGTATTGTTGTCGGATCAGACGTCGTGTTGGCTTGGAACGCCACGTTCATGAACCTGCAATCGACGCGGCGCGGCCTGAGGTCGTCAGACATGCCCCTCCTCCCTCCCTTTCCTCCTCCGTCTTGTATTCGGCAACGCGCCTGACGATACACCAGACTACCAGACGCATCGACGGGGCAGGCCAGGCGTTTCACCACTCCCTCGCCACAAACACTTCCCCCAGCGCGCGACAAACAATCACCTTCGCGCGCTCGCGCCGCCGCTTGGGACAAGGGCGACACTCTGGTCCAGGCCGCGACGCGCAGGGTGCGGCTACTTTCGCGCCCCCGATGGCGATTTAGCGTTTGCGTTACCGCGGCGCACATTTGTCCTAAACACTTCTAGCAATTACACCCATGGAGGGCGGGTACCAACAAGGCGCGACCGTTTTGAATGCCATTTGAAGTTGCTGCCAGGAGTTCTCAACTGCACGGGTGGGAGTGAGGCCATTCAACAAACGGGGCTCTCTCTTTGGACCAAGGCTGAACCTAAACAGCGGTTTTCGTTTTCGTTTTGTCTTCGCTCTCCCTCGTTTTCTCTTCCATCCGCCTTGGCCGCACAGCGAAGTCGAAGCCAAAACGGCCCACGAGATCGTCCAATCCCCGTTTAGGCCCACCCCTGCTCGAGACGTCGTCAGATCCGATGGGCAGAAGCCGGCACATGCGCGAGACGTCTTCAGATCACATGGACAGAAGCTGAGCAGATCTGCGCGGATGGAGGGCACCTCCCATTGAGAACGGGGCCCTCGCTGCACGCCTCCTCGCAGATTCTGACGCCATGTCGTTGCGCTTGCGTTCCCCAGCTGCACGGATGAGCGGCGGATCGTTCTCAAAGGTGGGCTCAAGGAAAGTATTGCCCTCATGACAGGCCCATGGAGCCGTCGCGTGTCCAGGGAGGCACTCCCTTTAGCCTGAAAATGGTCTGCAGGGGCACAGTGACGGGCGGGTGTACTGCAGCATCGTTGAAGGACTCTGGGTTCACTGAATATGTCCTCCCCCCTTTCCCCGTCACCCTTCCTCGCCATGTTCCCTCCTCCTCAACCTTCTCCCTTTCCAATCCTCCTTTCTCATTCTCCCGCCTCCTCCTGGGGTAGGAGAGGGGGGCCGAGTTGGGGGAGGGGAGGGGGGGTGAGGGAGGAGGTGGAGCAGGACGTGATGCGGATGGACTGGGGGGGGAAAGCGAGGGATGATTATGATTATGATTATGATGATGGTGATAATGATGATGATGATGATGATGATGATGATGATGATGATGATGATGATGATGATGATGATGATGATGGTGATGAGGAGAAGGAGGATGCCGGGGATTCCGCCGACACGTGGTGTCAAGAAGGCTTGAAGACTCAGGCCTTGGGCAGGAGGCCGCGACCAATCTTGTCTGTGTATCCGCGCCTCGTCTTGAAAAGATGATTCGTGCACGGCGCACCCCGACTACTGAATTGGTGCTGACCGAAGTTTCCGCATGACGCACATAACCAAATTCTAAGATCATTGTGAAACCGAAAACTGTGGGAGGGGCGCGCCCGACCACCAGCGATATGTAAATGCTATCACCCGGGTGCTCTGCTAAGCACACTGGTCACCGACTCGATTTGGAAGCAAAAGCTTTCCAACCAACCGCCCGTGCGAAGTACCTTTGGTAACGGAGCCTTTACACACAGCGCATCCTGCCAATGTGGGTCAAGGTCTGGGCAGACACGAAGCGTGCAACGGCTAAAGGTGGTGGAGGGGGGGGGCGGGCCCCCGCGGCACCTGCTCAACCTCCTGCATCTGCGCAGTTTGAACCAAGACCCTGGCAGATATTTTGACCGCATGCGCGCGAGCCCGGTGCTCCTGGGACACCCGAGCGCGCAACGCAGCTTCAGCAGCTAAGGCGTCCACGCACGAGTTGCCATAGATCATCCAAGCAAGGGGGATGCGGCAAAGGATCTCGCCGCCGTCCAATTTCGACGGCACCCGCATCAGGGCGACCGCCGTGGCTGCGCCAAACAAGCAATGATGCTACGCCGGATGTCGGCATTCCCGCCCCGGGTCGCCCATGGAGTTCGGCGTGCCTACCTGTCGCGTCCTCCGCGCAGTTGGCAGCGTGAATCCAAGCGCCAGAGGAAAACAGCAGGGCCCAGAGAAGAGACTGGACCTCTCCGCGGGGCACCGTCGAATAGGGCCCCGCGAGAGGCCCGAACATGTGAGGCCCCAGAGCGAACAGAGAGAAGCTGGCGCACGCCGCGACGGCCGGCCCAGCGAAGCCTGGGGCCCACTACGCCAGGGCCGCCAGGCGCGCCCCCGCAGACAACGATCGGGCCTCGCGGGGGCCCGCATCCGAGGCAGGCGGGGCCCGCAGAGCCACCGCCGACAAGCGAGCCTCCGCCCCGAGACCCCCCGCAGGGCGGCGGCGGAACCACCGCCCAGGGCAGGGGGGCGGCCCCCCTCGTCCGCAAGCGCGCGGCGGACTCGGACTAGGCGATGTCCCGCGGGGCTCGCTCTTGCGGTTCTTCGTGTGCCCTCGAACCTTCGTTCTCAGAGCACGTCCAACATCTGCGCCGCGCCGGGCCTGGGCCTTCGCGGCAGCGAATGCACGTGGCACTCGTTGAAAAAGACCTGCATTGAAACTGCGTGCGTTCGTCGAATATCCCCCCACTACAATCGAAACCATCAACTCGCATTGATAGTCGGTCTCTCTCGGCAGAGTAGAGATCGCTGACCACCTTGGGAAGGGGTATCTCGTCTGCGGCGCCTCCCAATCCTGAGCCGCCAAATAATTCATAAGCCTGGCCCAAGCGCCGCTGTTGATAAGTAAGCGCCGCTGCTGATAAGTAAGGTCCGGTTCCCTGAGTCGGGGGGCCGCCTGGCCCAATCCCACGAACTCAGCGCTCTAGAATATCCAAATACGTTCGCCCGGTGACATCTCTCTTCGGAGGCGCCGCTCGCCCAGTCGGGGGTGCGAGGCGCTGTCCAGCACTGATGATCTACGAGCGAACTAAAGACATGGGCCCACGCGTGCGTCGGGCGCGCTGCCCGTCTGCAAAATAACGGTGGCGCTCGACAATAAGAGGCCGCGCGCGATAGATGGCTGGGCGAAGACGCCCCCCCCCCGAAGCCGCGCGCCCAGCCACCGCCGCGGGCGCCGTCAAAAGCGCCCCGTGGGCCAGCGCCTGGGAGACGCAGCGAAAGCAAAGTCGTTAAACGCCTGACGCGCTCAGTTGCACCGGCAGCGGCTCCCAAAGGCGCTCGAATATGGCCGTCCCGAACAGCCCATTTATCCGGTGGCCATATGCGGCCGATGCTGGGGGGCCGGCACGTTGAGGCATCGCGGTCGAGTGCCGACGGCGAGCCACCTGCGCGAAACGCCTGGGCCGACGGGGGCTCCTGCTCGACTTGACTGCGCGCTGGCGGACGCATGCGCGACCGCGCCTGTGCTCGGTTCCACGCCCGAGTACCTGGAATGCAGGGCCACGCGCGCAGAGCAGCAACTCTGCGCCACAAGGCCCTCGCCACTGAAATCGCATCACTATGCTGAGAGCAAGTGGTGGTGCTCTAGTCCGCGATGCGCAAATTATACCGCGTGCATTCACGCACCGTAACCACAACTCCAAGAATCAAGGTCGGGCGTGCATGAGATCTGGTACCAGCCGTGCTTTGAGACAAATCATCCATCCATAACCTATTCCGACGAAGATGTGCTTCGCCGAACGTCCTGCACGCGAAGGCCGTGAGACACTTCGGGAACCTCGCGACGTTCCTCGCGCCTTGGATGACGGAGCTAGAAACCTGGAACGGCCCACTGTAGCTGTCGAGCTAATCGAACATCTTTGGCGAGAGGCAGAGTTGCAGCTCTAAGAAAAGAGCGACGGAAGGAAACCTTTGGCCAACGCACATGCAAATAACGTAGCCCACTCCAGTTTCTCGTAGTTTGTTTTCCAATGTCGGTCGAAGCGCGCCCGCGTGGAATCTGAAGACGAGATTGAGCTTCGTCCTCGAGGGCTCTCACAAAAACTTCGCGCGCAACACAATTGCCCGAAGCGGCGGCATCCCTCGGATCGTCACGTTCAAATGATCAAATCCAGGTCTAAATTTCACGGGCCATGGCCCATGCTCTGCACAACATGGCGATCAAGCCAATGACCCGATCGCCACCGGTCACACACACACATCGCCGATAAGCTTGCCAACTACACGCATTACCTACCACAGCCAACTGACGCCTTGCTCCACCATGCGGTAAGGTCGCACAGCTCCTGTATCCCCTGCTCTGGCAAGCGCTCGATTTCAGTAGGCAAGAGCGAATCCATGCCCAGACCCGCCCTCGTCTGCACCTTCGCGAGCGCCTACCGTACGCCGGAGACTGACAAAGGCGGCAATTGCTCCAAATCCGCCTGCGCCATGACCTGGCTCATGATCTGCATGACGGTTTTACACGTCGCCTCTTTCGACTGCCCGAGTGAATGAACTGCGTGGTCCACAATGTCCATGGGACGAACCAGAACCCTGCCACCTCCGATGAGTTTCGCCCCAGTGAGGGCACCGAGTCTTACAGGGACGACGAGCGACTCCCTGATTGCCTGCGTCGCTGGCCCAGGTCTGAAGCTCCCTCAAAGATGATGCACTTGCCTGATTCTGGGCACGACAACAAAACTCGAAAGATACTACTTTCAAACGTAACCAACCGCGTAAACAACCGTGCAACATCAAGACGCAACACTTGACTAAGTTTCTGCAACGTACCTTCCCAACTACCAACATGAGGGGCAACGATGAGGGGGGACTGGCATAGGGAGGGATGCATCGACCCGACATCGAAGATACATCGCCAACAGAACGGCGATTGGTCCCTGATAATGACTCTGACCTTCCGGGGCAGTTTGGGGCTATCGGGCCCCTATCGGCGATCAATGGGCGATTTCGCGTCGATGCATCCCCCCTATGCCTATCCCCCCATATCGTTGCCCCTGGCAACACCTACGGGGCACGCCTTGCCAGCTCCGTCGAAGGGATGCTTTGCTGACCTCTGCGCCGCTGCCAACAGTCCCAACGGAGAGGAGCCGTTGCCCAGGCGGCGATGACGAAGTACAGTCCACCCGCAGAGTAAGGATGCGCGATAAGGATGCAAGGCCCTTGGACGCGCATTTCGAAGCGTTTCGAGCGGGGCGCGGCCAACGAGTGTCCAAGGATGGGCCCAGGAGGCAAGGATGCAAGGGTACCCTTGGGAGGGTTGCCCATCCTTACTATGCGGGTCGCCTGTATGATGGCGCGACGACTGCTCCAGCAGCGGGCCACGCCGTCGCGAAAGGGTAGCTGTCGAACGAGGTCGGCCTGCTTGGCTTTCACCTCTTCCAGAATACACCCTGAAACCCTCGAACACGCGGGCTGCTGCGCGCCGTGTTGAGCAAGGGCGATAGCCTCAACCTCCGAAACCCACCGCGCAATGCAATTGCGAATCGATAGCACGTAATCCCCACCAGCTGCGACGGCCAACGAACGTTGAATGGGTTCCCAAACGTCGTGAGTACAGTGTGAATGCCAAGAGACTTGAGTCGAAACGTGCCCCCACAGCACAGTCGGACCATGTAGCGCAGGGAGCGGCACAGGAGAAGCAACAGCACAAGCAGGGGAGAGACCATGCACATCCCTCGTGGGCTGAAAGTTGGCACCCTGAGGGTTCTCGTTTGCGGTGGACTGCTCAACCCCCATCAACCACATCGCCGACGCCCCCTCCAAGAGCGGAAAAATCAGCAACCCCTCTCGGGCCCCGCCCCGCGAGCATCCACAATGCTTGCACGCGGAGACTCAGGGCGAAAGGCAGATGCATAAGATGATTCGTCGGCCCAGAAATCTTCTTCCTACAGACCGAACTCGAACCCGGAAAGGTCAGGTCCCAGCTGGAACTCTCCAGGAGATGCCGCCTCGCGTGCGTCGGAGACGGGGTCGAACTCCCCATCCACCGAAGAACGGCCCTCGCCCCGACTCGCAGCGGCGGACGAACGAAGAGCTCGTCGCAGTCAGCCCCAAGCTTCACGTTTCCCCTCTCCGATCTCCAAGGCTGCTCGAGCCTGGCAGTGCTGGAGCTTGATCCTGCAGCTGGCTCGGCCGGCGGAACTGCGGAACTGCGGCAGCCGAGGGGCGACCCCGCAGGGAGCGCGGCACCGACCGTTCGCCTGCTCCTCGCACGCGCAGCTCCAGCACGACGCGCGGCGCACACGGTGCACCGCCAGAAGGTGCAGCACCGAGAACATGCGGCGCGCAGGTCTCCGAAGCCGATACGACATCAGCATGCGGACTGCCCGAAACCACGAGGCAAATATGCTCGACATCAGCCCGTCGGATAATTCCGTGTACGTTGCTGGTGAAGGAACATGCTCTGAAGTCATGCACGTCGATGTTGAAGTTCCCAAATCCCCAATGGCCAACCATGGTAACCGAATGCGTTGCAAAAGCGGCCCAGGCTTGGCAAACCTGGCAATGTTGGACCCGCCAAACATGACTCTGGGATGGGCGTAAAAAAAGGGACGATGATCAGCGAATGCCCGCTCATGTGTACGACTGTGGGCGTACATCCAGCACATGCGTCAAAGCCTTCGGCACACAGAAACTTCGCTCCCTCTGTCGGCTTCTCGAATATGCGACGGCAATTCCTGCGCCCTCGTGCGAGATACAACTCTCCTCCCTCCGTGGCCAGTTCTTGTGTCGAGGCCGAGGAAGCTTTGCCGGTTGACCTGGCATGGTCATGTAGAGGAGGAGGAGGCACAGAGGAAACAGAGGAGCAGGAGGAAGAGGAGGGGGGGCAGGGGGGGGATTCGATTCGGATTCGGAACGCTTGCGTAGCAAGATCAAGAGAAAATTTGGGATGCTGGCAAAAATCAGATGAGGAAGTCCATGAAGCAGCACGACCTGGTTACATAGTGAATACCTCCAGACATGACTGGCATCCTCGGCAAACGAAAAACCAAGCTTAACTGAAATGGACTCCGCTCGATTCGGGCCTAAGTGTTCGGCCAACCTCCAACCAATCATGAAGATCGCGTCACCCACAGACAGCCTCGCAAACGGCACCGCAGCCAAGAATACCAGCCAACCTGTGCGTTCCTTCTATACGAAATTGCTGCGCCCAAATTGAAAATAGAAAAGGTGGACCACGAATTCGCCGACGACACCCAGGAAATTGAACCAGCACAAACGCCCTCGTAACCTGCGGAGCCTATGAAGTTGAAGGCGAACGTGGCCGCACCGCCGTAGGGGCGGCTTCCAGCGGCGAGAAATACAAGAGCCGCGCCGCCGTAAGAGCGGCCTCCAGCGGCAGACACGAGGAAGACGTCAGGCTGGGTGCTCTTTCTTGCCCATGCCCGCACCGCCGTAAGGGCGGCTTCCAGCGGTGAAATTGCAGAAAGCGCACCGCCGTAGGGGTGGCCTCCAGCGGCAGACGCGAAGAAGACGCCAGGCATGGTGCACTTGTCCATGTCCGCACCGCAATAAAGTCGGCCTCCAGCGGTGAGAGAAGCAAGCGCCGCACCGCCGTAAGGGCGGCCTCCAGCGGCAGACACGAGGAAAGCGCCCGGCATGGTGCTCGTGTTCATGTCCGCACCGCCGTAAGGGCGGCCTCCAGCGGCGAGAAATGCAACAGCCGCACCGCCGTAGGGGCGGCCTCCAGCGGTAGACACGAGGAAACCGCCCTCCAAGGTGCTGTTGCCCATGTCCGCACCGCCGTAAGGGCGGCCTCCAGCGGTGAGATCTGCAAGAGCCGCACCGCCGTAATGGCGGCCTCCAGCTGCAGACACGAACTGGAAGTACATGTCCGCACCGCCGTAGGGGCGGCCGTCAGCGGCAGACACGAAGAAAGCGCCTGGCATGGTGCTCGTGTTCATGTCCGCACCGCCGTAAGGCGGCCTCCAGCGGCGAGAAATGCAAAAGCCGCACCACCGTAGGGGCGGCCTCCAGCGGCAGACACAAGGAACGAGCCCTCCAATGTGCTTGCTTCACAATGCCTCTCCTTTGCCAGCGGGAACGCTACGCAGACGACATGTGCGCGCGGCCCGCTGCCCCCCAAGCGCGAACGTGGACGCGAGAGGCCTCGGCTAGCTGCAGCAAAATGCGCGCTCGAGCCGAGATGTGCTTGAGGGGGAGCAGGGGGAGGAGGGGGGGGTGGGTGAGGGGAGGAGGAGGGGGAGGGGGAGGGGGGAGAAGGGGAAGGGGGGGGAGGAGGAACAGGGGCCAGCCGGGGGCAGCCCCCCAGAGCCGGTCCGCCCAGTCCCCAGGGGGACGCCGCGCCGAGCCGAGGGAGGTACATCAGAGGCCTTCCTGACGGGATCGGAGCAGGTGGGGTCGGAGGGTCGCAAGCGACGTCGGCGATGCAGCACCGATGCAGCGACCGTCGGCGATGTATCGGCGCCGCTGGCGTGGAGGACAGTCGGGCTCCACGTCGGCGATGCGGCGCGACCCTCCGACCCCATCCACTCCGACCCCATGCAGGAAGCCCAAAGAAATGGCCGAGGCGCTCGCGTGCGCGCGGGCCCCCCCCGGGCAGTCGCCTGCACCATCTGGACCGCTATCTCTGCCCTGGGGCCGCCAGGAGAGGGGGCGAGAGGAGTTACGTTGCGTATGTGGGGGGGCCTTGTCTGTCCCGTCGCGCCCCTTGTCCGCGTCGAATGTGTGCCGAATCCATGTGGGCCTCGTCGAAACCGCGTCGAATATCCACGTCGAATCCGCGTCGACGCCAAGCCACATCCGCGTCGGGTCCGCATCGAGCCCGCGTCGAGCACGAGAAAAGACACCAAGTTCGAGGACAGACAGGGCAGCCCGACGATGCAACGTAAACGAAGGGTGGCGGCGAAAGCGAGGAGGGGAAGGGGACGCAGAAAGCGGATAGAAGCGATGCGCCAAGGCCGTGCTAACGGCGATGTTGGGAATCCGACTTTTGTGACGCCTAGCTCGCGCAGAACCAATTGTAGGAAATCGCGAACCACACTCTCCTGCATTGCAAATGCGCGAATGTATCGAGCGAAAACGACGCAGCGAATTGCAGGACAGCACGAACCACGATGTCCTACAATTGGTTTGGCCACGAACCATTCCCACCTACAATGCCGAAACCTACCTCGCCGTTACCTGCATCGCCGTCAGCGCGTCTACGGATGCGAGCATCCTTTGGGTCCAGGACTCTGGGCACAGCTGGAGACCCCCTGGAACGCGCAGCACCCGCACGGGGGGGGGCTCCTCTGCGAGTGTCGGACGGCTGGTCTGGGCCTCCCTCGAGGCCGTCTGGGGTGTCCCTGGTGGGCTCTTGGGTACATCCTGGGGTCCTGGAGGTTCCTGCCGAGGGGTGCGCACGACCTTTTTCGCAATCCTCTCCCGTCGTGCACCTCCACGGGTGGGTGGCCTCTTGGGCCGATCTGGCGCACCATTCGCCGTCTTCGTGGTGCTTTGCACGGCCCGTACACAGGCGATCCCGAGCCGTCTTCGGATCCTACTAGCGCGTCATGGGTCCGCAAAAGGTATGGGTTCGGGCGTTGTAGTGCCGATTCGGGGTCCCCTGAAACGGAACAAAATTAATATGGAGGGGGAACGTCTGAGCACAGAAACTATCGAACATTTGTATGCGGTGTTGCCGCTGTAGGGTGTCAGGAACGTCTCTTTGGGCCTGTGGGAGCCTCTCTTGAAGCGCCTTGTGGTCTCTTGGGGCCGTCGTGGACTTCTCTTGGAGCTTCCTGGGCCGTCCTCGGCCATATTTGCCACCAGCGGGATCAGGTCCGAAGCCATGTGAAACCGAAAAGCCCCCCACAATACCTCAAACGGGCCCCGAACCCCTGGGGCAAACTTGAGTTACCAAGGGGAGTTTAGATGCTGCTCCCCTCCTCCTCCTCCTCCTCCTCTTCCTCCTCCCTCTCCTGCTTCTCTTCCTACATCCCCTCCTTCCTCTTGTCTAAGCAATTGTTTCCCCTTCTCGCCCTTCTCCTCCGAACCCTTCTCTCCTCATCCCTCCCCATCCTCCCTCATCTTTCTTTTCTTCGGTATTGCTGCCTGTTCCTCCGTCCATTCTTGGACCTCCCTCCCCCTTCCGATGAACACATCCCTCCTCCTCCTCCTCCTCCTCCTCCTCCTCCTCCTCCTCCAACGCTCTCCTGACTCCTGCCTCCAGCCTCGCCTCCTCCTCGCCCTGCGTCCTCCTCCTCCTCCTCCTCCTCCTCCTCCTCCTCCTCCTCCCCCTCCCCCGCCCCCTCCTCCTCCTCCTCCTCCTCCTCCTCTTCCTCCTCCTCCTCCTGCTCCTCCTCCTCCTCATCCTCCTCCTTCTTCCTCCTCTCTCCCGGCCCCGTCCTCATCCTGCCCCCAACCTCGTCACCCCCCCCAACGCTGCTCCCATGACGCGCTCCCCACTCCCGCTTCCCATCCCGTCTCCCGCGTGCGCGGCGTCGCGTTCTGTGCGTCTGGCTTCGGCTGCCCAGGGAGAAAAAGATGTCGTGCTTCCTCTGCCTCCTCTGTTCCACCATGTCCCTCCTCATCCCCTTCCTCCTCCACCTCATCCTCCCTCCTCCCCTCGCATCTATTCTCCTCCTCGCATCACCTCCTCCACCACGCCGTCCTCCCTTGCCAGCCTTCCCCCCGTTTTCCCCATCTTACCCCCTGTCCGTATGAGCATACTCGGGAGCCGTACGTGATAATGCAAAGACCCCGGGCGTGTTCACTCGGGCGCAAAACGAAACACATGCGAACACATGCACCCCACCCCGACCCGCTCCCGTCTCTGGGACGATCCCCTTCACTCTTATCCAGAGACGCGGGGCTTAGAAGGAATCCTCTCTGCTCCCCCGCCCTCGCACCACCGTGCATCCTCTCCCAGCTCCTCCTCCTCCTCCTCCTCCTCCTCCTCCTCCTCCTCCTCCTCCTCCTCCTCCTCCTCTGGTTCCTCCGCCTCCTCATCCATTATCCACCACCTCCATCCACCATCATCCACTCTTATGGTCCCACCACCTCCATCCTTCTCACTGATCCCTCCACCATCAATCGCTCCCACCCACACTCGTATATCCGTCTCCCCCCTCCGTCTTCCTCCCCAGTCTCATACTCCTCCTCCTGCTCCGCCTCACCTTCTCCTCTCCTCCTCCTCCACCATCATCACAAACGTCATCAGCAGCAGTAGCAACAGCAGCAGCCGCAACATCATCATCACCATCACCATCACCATCACCGTCACCATTCTCACCAACATCATCACCATCACCATAAGCATGGGCACAACCATCACACTATCACCAGCGCAATCATCAGCATCATCGGCATCGGCATCGTCATCATCATCGTCAGCATCATCATCGGAATCGGTATCGTCATCATCATCATCATCATCACCATCATCATTACCATCATCATCACGACCAGCTTTGTCATCACCATCATCACTACCATCACCAACATCACTACCATCACCATCACCATCACCACCGAAATCGTCATCATTGCCATCATCCTCCTCATCACCATCGTGTTCACCATTTCCATCATCGTCACCATCGTCATCAGCATCACCATCATCATCACCATACATCATCAGCAACAGCAGCATCAGCATCATCATCACCACCATCATCATCACCGCCATCATCATCTTCGCCATCGACGCCATCAGCATGACCATCATCATCATCATCATCAGCATCAACATCGTCATCGTCATCTTCACCGTCATCATCGTCATGATAAGCATCGTCACCGCCACCATCATGATCATCGCCATCCTCATCATCATCATCATCATCAGTAACATCATCATCAGTACCATTACCATCACCATCACCATCACCAGCATCAGCATCAACATCAACATCAACATCAACATCAACATCAGCATCAGCATCAGCATCAGCATCAGCATCAGCATCAGCATCAGCATCAGCATCAGCATCAGCATCAGCATCAGCATCAGCATCAGCATCAGCATCAGCATTCATCATTCATCATCATCATCATCATCATCATCATCATCATCATCATCATCATCATCATCATCCTCATCCTCATCATCATCAGCATCAGCATCAGCATCAGCATCAGCATCATCATCATCATCACCATCGTCATCGTCATCATCATCATCATCATCATCATCATCATCATCATCATCATCATCATCATCATCATCATCGTCGGTAGCAACGACAACATCAACATCATCATTCGCCTCTTGCGATGGCTGGGCGCGCCTCCAGGGCGTCGGCGGGCCCCTCCCGCCAGAGAAGGCTGTGAGCGCATCCTTGTGGTAGAGGATCAGCTTGTCTAGCATGAGCTCCTGCGGGCGGAGGGGGAAGTGGGGAAGGGGGGGGGGGGTCGAGGAAGTGGAGCGGGGAGGGGAAAGGAGGTGGTGGGGGAAGGAGGGAGGAGGGAATGGGTTGAGATGGAAGGAGGAAGGGAAGGATGGTGGATGGTTGGATGAGGCAGGGTGAGGGAAAGGAAGGAGAGGAAGAGGAAGAGGGAGGGCGAGATACCGACAGACGGAGAGAGAGAGAGAGAGAAAGAGACATATAAATTCATGAATCCATAATATGTATATATGTGGAGGGAGAGAGAGGAGCACAAAGAGAGAGAGAGAGAGAGAGAGAAACGCGAACGCGAACGCGCACGCCTGGAGTGCTCTAGGCAACAACGGTAAGCCGTCTTAATGGGGCATACTCAGAAACAGCCTCGCCCAAATCACGCAGAGAACTGATCGTGAGCGGAATGACCCGAACAAAGACAACGCATGGGAAAAACGAGGAGATGCGTGGTGTGGGTGGGGTCCAGAGAGAACGGAAAAGAAAGCCAGCAATGCCAGGGAAGGAGCCAACACACCCTCAGTGGACCTCCCTGCTCCTCATCCTCCTGGTCCTCCTTCTCCCTCCTTCTCCCCCATCCCTGGTGTCACGAGAGAGAAGGATGATGTGGAGGGGGGCCGCCTCCTCCGAAGCGCGCCCCGGATGAAGAGGTCCCATCCTCCTCCTGCCTTTCTCCTACGTCCGTTCTCGCTCTTTTTCTGAGCTGTCCTTAGGGTGGAGGGCTCAGGGTAAAATCCATATGGGCGTTTGCACCTCGAAAATCAATTCGTTGTGTGATTCACCTTATGCAAAATGAAGCCTCGAAAATCAATCGAAACGGCATTTCAGATTTCACCCTTTGCCCTCCACCCAGAGATAATGCTCGGTTTTTGTACTCTACTGCATCCTCCGCGAATCGGTGCCCCCCCGCCGCGTGAGAAAGGCTGACGGCGGAGAGAGGGACCCGAGTGAGCGTGGAAGGTCGGACGAAGGGCGAGAGGAAGGCGGGGAGGAGTAACAGTAGCGGGAGGTCGGGCACGTCCCCCTACAGGCGGATCTTGGACGAACCATACAAATCCGCCGACCCTGTCGGCGTGTGCGAGGGGCTTGGCTGTTCGAGTCGTCGTCTCCGTCGGTCGTCGCCTCCGTCGTCCTCTTTCCATGCAGCTTCCTTCTCAAGCTCGTAAGCGAGAGAAACATCTAGCAGTGTCGTAATCGAGTCGAAGGGAAGCCCCTTCCCTTTGATCCCTTCCCCAGGGGGAGGGGGGGGGGTCCCGGGGGGGGTGGGGGGGCAGATTCGTTTTTCCTCGGGCGGCCTAGAAACCTCGAAAACACTCCAAATGAGGTCCGAATGCCCAAGATGGCCCCCGAGACGGCCCAAGAGGGCCCCGAGTCGCCCAAAGATCGGCCGAAAACGCCCAAGATAGCCCCAAGACCGTCCAAGAAACCTCCAAGACGTCCCAGGCCCCCTCCAAGAAACCCTCAGGAAGCCCCAAGAGGTCCCCAAGAGGCTTCCACGCGGCCCCTCAGAGCTTCCCAAGAGGCCCACAAACTACCCCCAAGAGGCCCCCAAGAGCGCTCGTCGTCGTCGTCGTCGTCGTCGCCATTCAGGGTCGGCGGCACCGGCCGTAAGGCCTTCGCAACATCCAAACATACTATAAAAAGCAGATGATGGTCCCCAGACTATGTTTTACTATTTTGGAATGTTCCCTCCTGTATGGGGGACGGGCCCGACTTGTAGTAGGGGTAGGATGGGGCACCCAGGGGGCGCTGGACAGGTGGTGGTGGAAGGGAGAGCAATCGGATGGAAGGAGCAACACCAGTGAAGGGGCCCTGGGACACACAAATAAATAGGCACGAATAACAAGATTCCCCATATTTTCCCATATTTTCCGGGCTTCTGTCTTCCCCCCCACCTCCCATATTTTCCCATCTGTTCCTGGAGTCGACGATTAATTGTGTCTGTGTGTTTTCTTCCCTCCTGACAATCGGATGGAAGGGCAATAGGAAAAAAGAACACAGGGTGGAAGGAAGAAGGAACAGCAGGTAGAGGAGGGGAAGGAAGGAGGAGGGAGGCAGGAGGGGAGAAGCTAGAGGAGGAAGGGGGAGAGAAAGACGATGAAGAGATGATAACGGCAATACGAAGGCGGGAGGCGAAAAGAGGAGGAGGATGGACCAAGATGGGGAAAATAGTTTGCAGTCCACTCCAGCTGTGGAAGTACAATGGGTGAGGATAACCGCTCGGACTCCAACACTTCTGTGGGAGCCCCGATCAGCCCCGGGACGAGCTGGAGGGCACCAGGAAGAGCGGAAGGCCCTCATCACTTGCATTTTCAGAGGGTGTGCCGTCGATGGCCGCTCGAAATCCACTCCACCTGTGCTTCTGCAGAGTACGCCGACAGCCGTTCTGATTCCAACTCTTCGGCGGTAACATCTAAGGAAGGAGGACACTCGACATTTATGTTAAAGCAGGGGCCCAACCACAAGAAACCTTCCACAAGAAACCCAACCCAACCCTGAGACCCTGGGACGTCCATGGATTTTTGGTCTGGTCACGCTCTCCATCGCAAAACCATCGAAACCCAAGACACCCTTGGCACCCTGGAGGCAAGCAGGGTGTTTCTTGGCATGGGCCTGCACGGTAGCATCTTAGGAAGGAGGACACTCGAGATTCCTGTGAAAGGCGCGAGGGGCTGCTCTGCTGCACGACCCGCTCGGGGTCAAGCTTACGATGAGAGAGAAAGGATGCAGAACGACACGTTGGGAAGGCAGCCGGCGATCAGGATGCGAGAGGTGATGGCCGCCACCTGACCCGCATTGCCTCGCGCTCCCGTTCCGCCAAAGATCTCGTCGGTCCGCCGGACTCCTCGTCGTTCTCTTCGCCTCCCTCCTTTCGCTCTCTTCCCAACTGCCGCGTGGCCCCGCCGCAGCCGCTGCGGCGGTTGCCACGGGTCAGCTACGCTGCCTTCGCCGGCGCAAGCTCCCTCACGCTTCTGCTAACTCCTGCGCGGCCCCGCGCGCTTCGCGTGCTGTGCTGCCGCATCGGGGAATCGCATGTGTCAGATGTTGTTGCCTGTGCCCGCTTCGATGACTTGCTATTCCCTTCTTCTTCCCCCGGTTTCCGCATCGGCTTTCCTCGATGCCCATTCAGGCTTGCGATGCTACCGCCTATGGCGGCTGCATGCTGCCTATGTCCGCCGCGTCGGCTTGCCTCTCCCTGCTCCGTCCTCTTGTCGCCTCTCTGCCTCGCCACACATGCACTCATTTACCCTGCTTCCCCACAATCACCCTCCCTCGCATCGACCCGCACCTAAACCGGGAGAGCACGCACTTGGGCCAGCGCGTCGCCTAAGGTGCGCACGCAATTCGCCTAGCGCACCCCGAAAAATCATTTCCAGCGGCTGCTGCAGCTCTGTGGAGGAGTAACGAGTGCGCGCGTCCGTGTGGCACCTCCTGCAGCGGGCGCAAGGTCAGAACAGCAAGCCGCTGCGACGCCACGAGGCCACCCGAGGCCCCGAAGCAGCAGGCTCAAGCAGGCCCGACGAGACTACATTCCACCCCGAGAGCGGGGGGCCGGCCCGCCCCGTCCAATGCCGGCCACACCTTCGCCGGAATCCAGAATCCCCGGGCAGCCCCGCAAGGCCGCGGCTCCCGATCGCGCCACAGCCAGGCCCCAGGCGTGCACCTGTGGCCGGATGCGCCCTCTGGATGAGGCGATCGCGCCTTGTCTTTCTTTCCTGGTGGCGGACCAGAGCTCCAGCTACCCCGAATGGTATCGATGGGAAGCGGGTGAAGCCGAAGCGTCGATAAGCACAGAGGCCCAAGACAGCGGGACGATAGCGAGCGAGCGCGACGACAGCGGAACGGCGGCGGAGGCGATCGCGCCTCCGCCGCTGTTCCCTTTGGGCGGGGGTGCGGTCGGCGAGGCCCAGGGGCGATGCAGTGCAGGCAGGAGCTATGCCTGGCCCCGCGGAGCGCACGGGCCAAGCATCGCCGACAAATCGCGAAACTGAACCTCGCAACCAACTCGCGCCCTCCATTCTCGACGACCTCGGCCGTCGAGGCCCGATTCGGGCCCCCTCGGCTCCAGCGGCGCAGGGCGCGGGGGAGGCAGGAGGAGGCACTGCTTCCCCTCGCTCCGCGGAGCCAAGCTCTGGCCACGGCCGCCCAGATCCGCCCGGAAGCTCGCCCTCAACGCCTCGGCCGTGCGGCAGCCCGCTCGGCGAGCACCGAGTCGCGCGCATTGGTGGCCGCGCGGCGCCTCGCCAGCCGCGCCGCGGGCCCCAGGCGCGTCTGCAGCCCGCTCGGCGACATCCACATCCCGCGCCGCCTTGGCGGCCCGCCGTGCGTGCGCCAGCACGCTCAGGGGCGCGTCGCGTCCTGGCCGGTCGCCTGCGCCACCGCTCGCTTCCTGTGCGCCTTCCGTCGGCGGCTCCGCGGGCTCCGGGGCCTCCGCGGCATCGCCTGCCTCGCGCGCTGGTGGCTGCCGCGACTGGCGTTGCTGCGCTGTTTCGCAACCTGCTCCGATTCGCCAGCCTCCCCCCGTCGGCTACGCCGCCGTCTGACGCACCGAGCCCCGCAACCGCACCATGCCAATGGGAGGGGGCGCGGTCAGGCGGGCCGCTAGCCGCTGGGCGAATCCTCCCAGCATGAGCAGCAGTGGCAAAGCCGCTTTCCTGGCGCCCGCACACTGGCAGCCCTCTCCCCTTCGGCCCTCCAGGCGGCCGCTACCGCCGCCGCCGCCGCCGCAACCGCCAACGCTGGCGCCAGCGGCGCGGCCTTAAGCCGGCGCGCCAAGCCGGCAACCGCACGACGCGAGCTTCAGCATTAGGAAACCACGCCAGCGCAAGCAGCTGTCCGCTGGTGTGCCTTGTCCTGCTCACGCTTGTCCGCAGCGCACTTCGGCTGTCACGTGGTCGCTTGCACGACGCTCCGGCATAGGGCTCGGCTGCGCGCCGCGGGCGGACGGAAGCCATGTTCGCGCCCGCAAAGCCTTGGTGCGGTGCGATGCAAGTTCTAGTTCGCAGGCTCAACGAGAGAAGCTCTCGCCCTGGTTGGTCCGGGTTGCCTTGCAGCTGGCCGCGTAAGCTCCCATCCACCAGCGCACGACAAGCCAGGGCGATTGTCGATGAGCCTTGCCGAGGGACGGCCGACGACCAGCAGGATAAATTAACAACTGCTTCCCCACTCTACGCCAGAACCGCGTGAAACATCAGCTCGTGCCTCGCCTTGGCCGCCTCAGTTTCGATGTTCAGTCCGCGCGGGCTGACGAGGAGGGGTGCTCAACGCCACTAGATGAAGCATATACCCTCTGACGTACCCAACCATCTACACGAAGTAGCACGAGGAGCGTCGCCCAGGACAGCGCATGAACTGCGATTGGTTGCGCAGACTAAATGGTAGGCGTGCAAGCCCCAGGCTAGAGTAGATGGGGGTGGGATACGGAAGCAGGGAAAGGACGGACGAGGGGGCAAAATGCTCACGCGACAACAGCAGTGATACGAAGAGGCCAGCAACGAAACAGGCGGGATGACGATGATGGGGGGTCGAACATTTTCCCGTGGCGCGCCTGCCACGCAGCCCGGACCGCACCATGTCCATCTGGCACTCCAAAGGACCAGCTGCTCATAGATAACGCAGCATGTGGAAGCGAACGAGGCCGAACTCGCCCGCCAAGTTCCTCGTTTCTTTCCACCACTTTGCAATGCGGAAACTAAGTCAGAAACCGGGCAATGGCTAGCACACCCGTGGCTGCTAAAACGGAACTCCGGGGAATTGCTTTTTTGCAGGGAATCAGCCTGGCTCATATTTGGCGAGTTATTCCGGGGAGTGTTTTTTTCCCTCCGGGGAAGCTTTTACTTTTTTTCTGCCTGGTTCGCGCTGGCCAAGCGTGACGCGACAGGGAGCCGCGCCCATAGCGCCGAGGCGCCGTGCCCAGGTCAGGCCACCTGCATGGAATCAGGGGGGGATGGGAGGAGGGGAGGGCCCCTGCGACCCCGGCCAGTACAAGGGAGCGCGCGGCAGCGAGATGGTGGGGGGCGTTGCCCCCGCGAGCGTCATCGGCAACGCTCACCTCAAACCAGGAAGTGCCACCGACCACTCTGTGCACCCTAGCGGAGCGGATTGGGCCCAGGCAGCACGGCTTGCCCACCGTGGCGTGTACTTTGAACATTCCCAGGGCTGACGGCAATCGTCCGGGAAGACCGCTTTAGCAGCCAAGGATTTGCCAGCCCTCGCCCAGCTTCCGATCAAGGCCCGTAAGCGCGCCGCCAGGACTTCGGCCGGCCCGCGGGAAAGGACATCAGGGCCAGCCTGAGTCCGCGTAGGACGCCACCATGCTGGACCCCCCTGCAGCCCTCGAGAGTAGCGACCAATGTCGCAGATCGCAGCCCCGCAAGGATGGCGAGGTCTTGTCTGGGTTTGCCGTGATGCGTCATTCCGCGGGACCCCCCAGCAGCCCTCGAGACTGCAACAAGTTCGCAGATCCCCCAGGGATGGCAGCGTCCAAGCTGGGACTGCCGTGGGGCGTCAGTCCGCCAGCCCTCGACGGTGGTGACAGTTTCACAGATCGCAGCACCCCTAGGGATAGTGAGGTCTTATCTGAAACCCAGGTAAGACGTCACCCCGCTGGACTCCACAGCAGCCCTCGAAAGTGGCGACGCTTTCGCAGATCGCGGTCCCTTAGGGATGGCGAGGTCTTATCTTAATCCCAAGTAACACGTCACTCCGCTGGACCCCCAAGCAGGATCCGAAAGTAGCGACAGTGTGACAGATCGCAGCCCCCAGGGATGGCGCTGAATCCCAGCAAAACGTCACTCCGCTGGACCCCCCCCAGCAGCCCTCGAGAGTGGTGACGCTTTTGCAGATCGTGTCCCCCCAGGGATGGCGAGGTCTTATCTGAATCCCCAGAAAAAATTATCCTGGCGAAGGACCCAACCATGTGCAGTTGTGAATATCGCATTGCGGGTGCCGCTTTCGGTGGAGCTCCCTGTGGGGCCACGAAACGCTGTGCTGGGTGGGGCTGACGCATGCGGGCGGCACCACTGGGGCCTTCGGTGGAGGTCCCTATGGGGCCACGAAACGCTGTACTGGGCGGGGGTGACGCATGCGGGCGGCACCACTGGGGCCGTCGGTGGAGCTCCCTGTGGGGCCACGAAACGCTGTGCTGGGTGGGGGTGGCGCATGCGGGCGGCACCACTGGGGCCTTCGGTGAGCTCCCTGTGGGGCCACGAAATGCTGTGCTGGGGTGGGGGTGACGCATGCGGGCGGCACCACTGGGGCCTTTGGTGGAGGTCCCTGTGGGGCCACGAAACGCTGTGTTTGGTGGAGGTGCCGAAATGGGTGTGCGGGACGCATGCGAGCGGTGGCACTGGGGCCTTCGGTGGAGCTCCCTATGGGGCCACGAAACGTGTGAGGGGTGTGCCGAAATGGGTGTGGCTGACGCATGCGGGCTGGGGCCACGAAACGTGTGAGGGGTGTGCCGAATTGGATGTGGCTGACGCATGCGGGCGGCGGCACTGCGGCCTTCGGTGGAGCTCCCTATGGGGCCACGAAAGCGTGTGAGGGGTGTGCCGAATTGGGTGTGGCTGACGCATGCGGGCGGCGGCACTGGGGCCTTCGGTGGAGCTCCCTATGGGGCCACGAAACGTGTGAGGGGTGTGCCGAACTGGGTGTGGCTGACGCATGCGGGCGGCGGCACTGGGGCCTTCGGTGGAGCTCCCTATGGGGCCACGAAACGTGTGAGGGGTGTGCCGAATTGGGTGTGGCTGACGCATATGGGGCCACGAAACCTTATGGGGCCACGAAAGGGGTGTGCTTGCACTGGGCCTTCGGTGGAGCTCCCTATGGGGCCACGAAAGCGTGTGAGGGGTGTGCCGAATTGGGTGTGGCTGACGCATGCGGGCGGCAGCACTGGGGCCTTCGGTGGAGCTCCCTATGGGGCCACGAAACGTGTGAGGGGTGTGCCGAATTGGGTGTGGCTGACGCATGCGGGCGGCAGCACTGGGCCTTCGGTGGAGCTCCCTATGGGGCCACGAAACGTGTGAGGGGTGTGCCGAACTGGGTGTGGCTGACGCATGCGGGCGGCAGCACTGGGGCCTTCGGTGGAGCTCCCTATGGGGCCACGAAAGCGTGTGAGGGGTGTGCCGAATTGGGTGTGGCTGACGCATGCGGGCGGCAGCACTGGGGCCTTCGGTGGAGCTCCCTATGGGGCCACGAAACGTGTGAGATGTGTGACGATGATTGTGATGATGACGATGATGGTTGGTGATGACGATGATGATGATGATGATGACGATGATGATGATGATGACGATGATGATGCTGATGGGAGGAAGGAGGAGGGGGAAGAGGAGGAGAGGAGAGGAGAGGAGAGGAGAGGAGGAGAGGAACGCGGGGCACCGTCTCTTCAAAACGAGGACCCAACACCACAGGATGGTTGGGGAAAAAAACGCCACTCCGCTGGACCCAGCAGCAGCCCTCGAAAGCTTCGACACTTTCGCGGATCGCAGCCCCCCCAGGGATGGCGAAGTATATTCTGGATCCCATGTAAGACGTCACTCTGTTGGACCCCCCAGCAGCCCGCGAAAGTGGCGACGGTTTGACAGATCGCAGCCCCCAAGGCACGGCGAGGTCTTATCTGAAACCCACGTAAGACACCACTCATCTGGATCCCCAGCAGCCCTCGAAAGTGGCGACCGTTTCGCAGGTCGCATTCCCGAATGGATTGAGGTATTATCTGAATCCCCGGCAACAGCCCTCGAAAGTGGCGACAGCTTCGCAAATCGCAGCCCTACAGGGATGGCGAGGTAACGTAGAACGGCAAGGCAAGAGGCGAGCTGGCAGGCAAGTACAAGCCAGATAGAAGACAGGATGGTAGAGGAGGGGAAAGGAGGAAGGCGGGAAGGAAGGAGTTGCGACCGCAGTGCATTATTCTAAACATGAACCAAACGCAGAAGGATGCGGAAGTACATAAACAGAAAGTTTCAGACGTCTGTGCAGATCTCTTGAATCGGCACCGGACCCTTCTCACGGGCGTGCGGACAGCGCCAGGATGGGCGCCAGAGGCGCCGCCAAGGGCCCCGAGCGCCCATCCTAAAAATCAGAGAGGAGCTCATACATGGATATGAGTATGCTGCTTGTTTCGGGCTGGGCAAAAGGAGGGGATAGCAAAGGGGGGGGTTGAGAATCAGCTCGCGCAGCTGATTTTCGCGGCGCCTCCCGGCGCCCATGTATCGAGGAATGGGCCCGGCGGCGGGGCCGAAACCAGCTGCACGCAGCAGATTTCATAACCCCCCCTTTCCCTATCCCCCCCTTTCGTTCGGCCCGACTGTTTCATCACCGTCGCACCACGGACGCAAAGAGAACAACGGGCACAACCAGCTGTAGCCTGGGGCCCCAGCTGGGTTGCACCCGTGCTGCCTGCACACGGGGACTTCACACGGCTGCACGCGCTGGCCACGTCCTCGCCCGCGCCCGGCACGCCAGGGGAGAGGGAGGAGGGAGGGCACGGACGAGGAAGTAAAGCAACAAACAACGGCGTAAACAGAAACTTTTGGCGGTGCGCGCGGACTTCTCGGATCTGCGCTGGACCCTCCCCGCCCTGGCGCGCGGAGCGAGCCAGGGGCGGCGCCGGAGGCGCCGCCGGGGGGCCCCGCGCGGATCCAAGAAGTCCGCGCGGAGCGCCAAAGCTGCATGTTTGTGCCGTTTTTGCTTCTGAACGAAGGAAACAAGAGCAGGAAGAAGGCAAGGAGAGGGGGAGCATCCCAGAACAGCGCAGCGTCGAACCAACTCAAATTTCCAGGCCATGTGCAGTCTGTTCTTCTTCGAGCGGCACCTCCCTGCCCGCTCCTGCATCTCGACGATCTCCGAGGACTTCAGCTTCTTGCCTTTCCGGTCCTGGCCGCACCACGGGACGGCGACACGCGGCCGGCGACGGAATCGGCAGCGGCGACGTCGGCGACGCATCGGCGACGCCGGGTTGGAGAGATCTGGCTTTCCATCGAGTTGCATCCCCGACGCATCGGCGACGCGGCGCGATCCGACCACATCTAGCCTCGGGCCCCATCTGGGAGGACCCGAGCAAAGGGGTCCTGAGGGTAACCCAGACATGTTCACGGCGGAAAGTTTTGGGCAATTGTTCGGCCTCAAGGGGCCATCGCAGGGCTCCTTAACCGTCAAAGAACGACTCGGGATGAGTACAGTG